AGTCGGCTTAGCGTGAGACGTGTCAGCCGTGGCATGTCGAAGTGTCGGTGAGAGATCGCGAGTCTGACTACGGCGATGTTCGGGGTTCGGTGCTGTGTTTGCTGGCGGTTAGGTTAGTACAGGAGGAGTTGTCACGTGTCCGTATGACAATATGTTAAAGGTTTGTCAACGTATTTTAGCCATGGGGGCAACGGCGTCGGGGTTGGATCGATGTAGAATGCAGACTTATTCCGTGTGCTTTCAGTGCCGGCCCAGAGTGGGTGGCTTTTCCCACAGGGTATATAGTCATCTATACCCTTAACGTCTTTCAACCAGTCTCGGAACCGTGGGTACCGTACTTTGTAAGGGCGCCATTCATCGCGCAATTCCTTTTCTTTAGTACGTTCTTGAGCTCTGAATTGCCGAAGCTGGCGCTGTTTATTCTTTGCCTCTTCAGCATCCCTTTCAGCTTGTTGGCGGGCTCGTAATTCTGCCGCACTTAAGCTATCATACCGCCATCCATCGGGCTTATAAAACCGACGTCGGGTTTTGTTACCGAACGCATCTTTTCGATTCTGGGTTTTACGAATATGTTGATCATTGGCGCGAGATAATACTATAGCTTTATCTGCTGTTTCTGAGGCCGTTCGTATCGCGTGCCGAGATGGTGATGATAATTCTGGATTCGTGACATTAACGTGACGACGGTATAGGTATTCCGCAGCCTGTTTAGCTTCGGTAAGCTCGTCTCCTCTAGGAACCAAAGAAGGATGCTTTGGCCGCTTAGAATTGACGAATTTGGCTCTTAATTCATCAAGAACTCGGTCGGGATTATGCGGCCAGTAGCCAGCCTTTTCGAACGCACTCATGAGGTTGTGTTTCGTAAATCCGGCATTATAGATGGTATCCAAGGCTGCCACAAAGTCGGTACGCGTAAATGTCACCTCACCATTCCGTAAATGTTCCTGAAGAATCTGCTGATGTTTCGCCTTCATTACCCGAAATATAATGAGATCCAAGGGCTGTAGGATGTGGGTAGAATGCGGTGGCATGAATAGTAACATAATGTTATACTTGAGACAGTATTCACCAGCTTCTAAGCTAATATGGCCAGTGAAGTTATCAAGTGTTAACATTCGCCATACAGGTTCCCGTTTAAGCAGTCGTTTCATACCGCCTTCAATTTCAGGGGTACTTTGCCTGCCATCGGGAGTAGTGCCACATTCGTCTACCCCAAACCATTCTTGTAACGTGATACGATCGCCAGTTATGGGATCAACAAGTTGTTCAAACGTAGCAGAACGTTCGAACGAATACCGATTGAAATGTTTCAGGTAATCAAGTTGTAGTTCCTTAGTAGAGAAACCATTTTCGGATCGGGTGAACCGGGTGTGGGAATCAACCTGAATATTTGCCCAGGCAACAGATGGCCATGTTTTGAATATCATATAAGGTGGGATAACTTGACCGCTAGCAGAACCTGCACCGACACATGTGCTACTTTCACGGTTACTGAAATCTGCCACCTGAACCGGCAATTGTTCTTCCATCGCAATAACTATTACTTGCGTGTTTCCGTTGAGACACCCTAGCCGAATGCCTGTTTCGTCCGCATTCCAATCATCCGCTTGCTGTATATTATACTCCCGAATTGTATTGCCTCGCAAAACAAAGTAAGCCGTGACCGCATCAATTTGTTGTTCAAGCGTTAAGCGGTTAATGTCGACAGAAGCTGTTTTCGTGATATGGAACTCTGGCCGGTCTTTCCACAATCGTGTCATGGTGGAATCGCTTATCGGTTGTCGGGGAGGTGTTCGACGAGCGAACAGTTCGTCAATTGCATGTCGGACTAGTAATTTGGTGACCGGGAACGCCCCATGGCTCATCATGGAAACATAGAGTACAAGGGCTTTATCCTCCGCATCTGTCAATGTTGGGGGGCGCCCTCTAGGTACCGGTGACCTAGAATCTGGCTTTTTGTCTAAGATAGCCTTTATTTCCTTCCTTACGCTGCTCGGCGACACTTTAAATCGCTTCGCAACATCTCGGGAGGAATAAGCCTGTGCTCGAACGTCCTTAGAGTGTGAGGGTAAGTTGCCACGACGGGTGCGATTTCGGTTTCGTGCTTCTACAGCCCATCTTGCCGCTTTCGCTGCTTTGGTCGGTGATAATACATCAACTTGGGTCATATCTATTGCGTTACCGGTTCCGATTGAATTAAAAGGCGCTGGTAACTTGATCCCGACGCGTCGAAGTTGAGGCGATTTACGTGTAGAATGGTAGTTTTCTATGGCGACTAAAAAGTGGACCTGAACGCGATTTCTGACCTGAGCACGATTTCTGGTGCCCCCTGAGCGTAGCGAAGGGGGTTTCCGTGGGTGGATCCCCTAGTATTGAGCCTGGGTCAAACAGACGCTGCCGCGAGAGATGGATTTCTAATCTATCCAGAATCTGATTTAAACAGATGCGCTTGAGGAAGATAGAATTTTAATTTATCGTATTATTAGGCCTGGTTCAAATAGACCCCTGTGAAGGAGATAGATTTCTAGCCTGTCGCGTTAGGCCTGATTCGAACAGACGCTCTTGAAGGGGATAGATTTCTAATCTATCCAGAATCTGGTTTGAGCAGATGCTTCCAGGAAGATAGATTTTCAGTCAATCGTATTGTCAGGCCTGGTTCCGACAGATTCCTGAAGGAGACGGATTTCTAGTCTATCCAGAATCTGATTTAAACAGGTGCTCCTGAGGAAGATAGAATTTTAGTCTATCCCATTATTAGGCCTGGTTCATACAGACGCTCGTGAAGGAGATGGATTTCTAGTCTGTTGCGTTAGGCCTGGTTCGAACAGACGCTCTTGAAGGAGATAGATTCCCAATCTATCGCATTAGACCACTCTGCCAGCTGGCTGTTGTTGGAAGACAGAAACATAATGCCGTGTTTATAATGCCGTGTTACTATAAGGGAGTGAGACCAAGGAAGAGGCAAAGTAAGGGGAGAAAGACAAAAGCAAATGGTAGAGACGAAGCTCGACTTACGGAACACCAGGTACCGTGGAGGATAGAGAACAAATACAGCAGCCTGATTGGTGGTCAATCGAATTAACGTATTGGACCGTGGGTTGGGCCCCACCGAAGGTTGGGCCACCTAAATTTCCACATTCAACGCACGGGTACAAGCCCCTATTGTAAGGAAAACTTCGAAACAGCATATCGCGAACGGTAACCCAGATTCCTCATGATTTACCGGTATTGCAAATATCACGACAAGCGAAAATGGATAAAGAAGCGCGAATTCAGAATGCACTTGATGCTATTCATACAGGAAGCGTAACGAGTGTTAGGGAGGCCGCGAGAGTGTTCCAGGTACCCCGTTCCACCCTCCAGCACCGAATAGCCGGCCGCAAACCCCAAAAAATAGCCAGTGAGCCACTACAGCATCTCACTGTAGCCGAAGAGGATTCGATCGTTAGGGTAGCACTTCAGATGCAGGTGTGGGGTTGGCCACTAACAATTGCGTCCCTGGAATCCTTTGCGAGAGGCTACCTGAAAGCTAAAAGCGACCCCAACTCCGAAGCCCTAGGAAAGAATTGGTACCGACGATTCCTTATGCGGCACCCTGAGCTGAAGCTTAAAAAATCCCGAGGCCTTGATCAACAGCGCAAAGACGGTACTACGTATGAAAATATAAGCGATTGGTTCGAAACAGTTCAGCGGATTCGTTTATCCTACGATATAGCCGAAGAAGATGTGTACAACATGGATGAGAAGGGTTTCATGAAGGGAATCGGTGATAATGCCAAGGTACTGGTTGCTCATACAGAAAAAGAAGCATTCACTAGTGAACCAGGTAACCGCGACTGGGTATCTATCATTGAATGTATTGGGGTCAATGGTTACGTGTTACCGGCATTTGTCATCTTCAAAGGGAAACAGATTCAACAGTCTTGGCTAGACAATCTCCTGGACCCTAATACCGTAATTCAGGTATCACCAAACGGATGGACTAGCCATGATATTGCTCTTACCTGGCTACAACACTTCGACAAATGGACTAAAGGCCAAAAGCGTGGCAAGTACCGTTTGCTCTTACTTGACGGTCATTCTAGTCACCAAACCATAGAGTTTGTGGAGTACTGTGAGCGGGAATACATCATTCCATTATGCCTTCCGCCACACACAACACACGTCCTCCAGCCCCTTGATGTTGGCATATTTAGCCCACTGTCGAAAGCTTATAAAAAGCTCGTCAGCCGTCACTCTATTTTTGGGGCCCAAAGAGTCGACAACCGACAGTTTCTTTTATATTACCAAGAAGCGCGACAATGCATAGCCAAAAATATACCCGGTGCATGGAGAGGTACTGGATTATTTCCTTATAATCCGTCCAAAATATTGGCTCACTACACACCTACAATGTCGTCGCCACAACCCGGCCCTACCGATCAGGGAAGAGATACCCCCGAGCAGCATAACCAGCAAGACAGCTTAATAACGACGATCAATACCATGGTAGAAGAGCTCTACACCGTTTGCCCAACCCCGATGCGCAAAAACGTCGCTTTCCTCCAAGATACCTGCGTGACATCCTTGTCAGATAAGTACGCTTTGGAAACCGTGAATGAAGGGCTTGTAAGGAAGCAGCGGGAAGCCCGACAAAAAAAGAGTACCAAGAAATCATTCAGAAAGGCCAAGGTGCTCATGGTTGCCGAGATGGCTAAGAAACAAAAGGAGCAACAACAAGCGGAAAGGGCAAAACTTGATGCCAAAGCCCGGCGAGCAGCTCTGAGGGGTAAGGTTGGCTTTGCGAAGTTAGTATGGAAGGAAATGTCAATGGGAATCGATGTATTTGAGTCGGAATAGATGTCGCGACCGTATATTGAGTATTTGCGACCGTTGTACAGCCTGTATTTAGTATCTTACACTCATGTAATCCTTATAATTTACATTTCCAGGTGCGCTCTGAGGCTTCCGAAACTAGGTGGCCCAACCTTCGGTGGGGCCCAACCCCCGGTCGAATACGTTAGAGTGGGTCTTGAATTGAACGGTATCTTATCTTATCTTATCGAGCTATCGCAAAGCTCCAAGCAAAAAATAAGTTCCGACTGAGCTTCGGGACCGCGACGGCTTTACCAAACACCAATCACGATTGCCTATACCATCAAACGCAAAATGGGCAGAAGCAAGCTGAAGACTGCTTTGAAGGCAGAGAAGGGAATCGACATCAAGAAGCTGAAAGAGAAGAGGAGAATCAAGGAGCTGACGAAGGCCAAAGCGAAGCGAACCGGCTCTCATCGCGGGGCAAATAAGGTCTCCAAGGACGACACTGATGAGGACGGGGACGAAGAGGATGAAGAAGACGAGGAGGATGCCGATGGCGGTATCCCTGTAGCGAATGGTGAGGCTGATGACAGCGAACAAGAGGATAGCGACGAAGAAGACGAGGGCGAAGAACCTTTAATCGATCTGGCCGCGCTAGACGAGAGCAGCGACGACTCCTCTGTCGACTTTGAAGAAAAGATAGAGCGGCCGAAGAAATCCAATCCGCCGAAGACCAGCGATACGATTCCTACACTTAAGGCCAATAAGAAGGCCGCGAAAGCGGAGGAAAACGAAGATGACGATAGTGAAGAGGACGAGGATGAGGAGGACGAAGAGATCGATTGGGCGGATCTGCCCCCAGAGGAGAGGGAAGACCTTGTCCCGCGTACTCGTATCAGCATCAACAACACGAATGGTCTCCTAAATACACTAAAGCGCTTCGCGATAACGACCGACGACAGCGCGCCTTTCGCCTCCCATCAGAGTCTGATGAGCCAGAAGCCCACAGCCGAAGTCATCGGCGAAGACCTGATGGACGACATCAAGCGCGAGCTCGCCTTTTACGCTCAGGCCCTCGATGCCGCCAAGCGAGCGCGGACCCTCCTCAAGGCCGAGGGTGTGCCCTTCTCACGGCCCACGGATTACTTCGCCGAGATGGTCAAGGACGACGGCCACATGGAGAAGGTCAAGGCGAAGCTAGTCGAGGAGGCCTCGGCCAAGAAGGCGTCCGCCGAGGCGCGCAAGCTGCGCGATCTGAAGAAATTCGGCAAGCAAGTCCAGGTCGCCAAGCTGCAGGAGCGGCAGAAAGCTAAGCGGGAGACACTTGAGAAGATCAAGACGCTCAAGCGGAGTACGTACTTCCACTTCCCCGCCGTTTTCTTCATCTTAATAGATCTAAATCTCGTCTTTAATCATTCCTTTCCCCTTTGTCACCCGTCTTTTCTTGTCACCATAATACCCCCCCATAGAATATCCTCACTAACTAACCTCCCCTTCAACAGAGCGATCAGACACAGGCGGCGGCGACCTAGACACAAACGAAGCAGATCTCTTCGACGTAGGCGTCGACAACGAGCTAAACAAGTACAAACCCCAACGCGGCGGCGAGCGCGGCGGCAAGGGCAGTGGCAAGGCAGGAGGCCCTAACGCAAAACGGCAGAAGAAGAACGAAAAATACGGCTTCGGCGGCCGGAAGAAGAACGCCAAATCGGGCGACGCCGCGAGCTCGGGCGATCTTAGCGGCTTCAACGTGAAACGCATGAAGGGCGGCGCCAAGGGCAAGGCGCCCAAGACGGCGCGGTTAGGCAAAAGCAGGCGGAAGGCCGGGGCTGGGAATCGGTAAGCTGTAATATAATTAATCGTCCGGGAAATTGGCATGAGGCAGCGAATGGAAAAACATGCATGGATGACATTCTGCCAAGTACTATTCAGTGAACCCTGGGACCGCTACCCGCTTAATTCGCAGTTTGGGGTGGTGGTCTTGGAACGTTATGCTGGGTTAGGGGAGCTGTAAGAGTTTATAGTCAAGAATGAAGGTATCGATACCACAGCAAGCATTCCGTGTTATACAGGGTAGTATGAAGATTCGAATGAAACGTTCATTGCAAGGCTCGAACGATCGCAATGCCCAACAGGGTTGGATTTAAGATAATCACGACAATGTTCATGGACTGAATTTCACCAGCGGTATATTATGCATAATAACTGTAAGTATTTGACTCAAGACGGGCTGGGTCCAAGACCGCCCTTTACTTCCGCTTGGCTATCCTCTTCATCGCTCTCATTTCCTTCTTCATTCTATAGTTGATACAGGTTAGTGTGCGTCGCAAACATGTAGGAAAACTCGGGAAGCATACCTGGCATCCACAATCTTATACCGACCTTTCACACCCTGAGAATCAAAAAGTTAGCAACCACACCAAAGCAACTTGAAGATACAGAGGCCGCAATGGGAGTAATGGGTCTGCGAAAGGCCAATTTCCGCATGCAATGACGTGCCAAAAACAAACCAGAGGACAAAAAGATTCTGATATACTAACCTTCGGACGGCCCTGGATGCCGCGATTCACACCCTTGGCAACGACCACCTTAACCGATTGCCTGGGCGCCTTTTTCTTGGCCTTGCCTAGCAATTTCGCTATGCTTTCGGCCTTCTCCTTTTCGGTCATGCCCTCTTCATTGGCCAGGACATCCGACTTCTTTTTCAGCTTCTCGAGCCGCTGGGCTACCTTGAACTTTTTCCTCGCTTGTGCTTCTCTCACCTAGACGATACAGATCAGCCTCAAATTCGTAAACGGCTCTTTGCCATGCAGTGGGATATTTACTTTCTTGATGGGCCTAGCATTCAGTGCTCTCATTTTTTCTTTGATTGCTTGTGCTGCCTCTTTCGTGATCGGCTTTTGCTTCTTGTCGTGCTTGCCCTCGTCTTCGAGGAACCAATCGGGAAGACCGTCACGGTCCCGGAATGCGTACTTGTTGAAATTTTCGTCGATAACATCGTGAGTGGTTTTCTGGCCGGTCGCAAGTTGGTGCGCCAACATCATGGCCTCGGTTGTTATTATATCGATATCTGTTACAGTTAGTAGTCG